AGTGCAAGTAGATAAATAGGTACCACTCCGGCGGGAAGGTAAACAGTGTTTCTGTGTGCTGCTCTGGTTCGCCAGAAGTGGCTTAGTCAGGCTGACCACACGACCCGGAAGCTGTATGCTGGCTCCCTCAGCCAATAAAGCAAGATGAGCGCTGCAACCCCAGAGTCGGTCACGACTGGACCTAATGGTCAGGGGTCCCTTTACCTTTACCTTTACCTTTATGAACTGCCTGCCATCCTAGCAGGTCGAAAGCACAAAGTGCAAGTAGATAAATAGGTACCGCACCGGCAGGAAGGTAAACGGCGTTTCTGTGCGCTGCTCTGGTTCTCCAGAAGCGGCTTAGTCATGCTGGCCACATGACCCGGAAGCTGTACGCCGGCTCCCTCAGCCAGTAAAGTGAGATGAGCGCTGCAACCCCAGAGTCGTCTGAGACTGGACCTAGTGGTCAGGGGTCCCTTTACCTTTTTATGCACAGGAACTGGACCTTCTGGTGCCTTTTGGGTCATTGAAATGGGCTACACTTCTGTCCCAGTGACAATGGATGTAGCCAGACCTAACTGCTGAAACCTACAAGGTCTTTATCGTTACCAGCCAACCCGTTTTGTAGCCCCCTTCCTGAAAGTACATTTGGCTAGGAAATCGGATGGGCAGGAGACACACAGCAGTTTCCCCAGCCTCAATCCTTCTGAGCTTTTTTCCCAGAGAAGTTTCTCTGGGAGTTCTCCACGAAAGCTCGGGAAAACTGAGCTAATTACAAGGCGAGCCGTGGGGAACTTGTACATGATCAGTCTCTTAGCAACTACGTTACAGAAGCTCTCGAACAAAGCCAGGGACATGGGTTTTCGGAAGGTAGGGGAGGCTTGCAGAAGAGGCAGAGCAAAAGAGAAAAGGACACCAGAATCCTGAAGAACATAATGTAAGAACATAAGAAGAAACTGCTGGATGAGGCCAATGGTCCTTCTGGTCCAGCATCCTATTGTCACAGTGGCTGGCAAGAGGCCCAACGCTGTAACAGGACACAAATGCAACAGCACTGTCCCCTTTAGCTGTTTCTAGCAACTGGTATTCAATAGTGCCACTGTATTCTGCTCTGGTCAGACCTCACCTGGAGTACTGTGTCCAGTTCTGGGCACCACAGTTCAAGAAGGACACTGACAAACTGGAATGTGTCCAGAGGAGGGCAACCAAAATGGTCAAAGGCCTGGAAACGATGCCTTATGAGGAACGGCTAAGGGAGCTGGGCATGTTTAGCCTGGAGAAGAGGAGGTTAAGGGGTGATATGATAGCCATGTTCAAATATATAAAAGGATGTCACATAGAGGAGGGAGAAAGGTGGTTTTCTGCTGCTCCAGAGAAGCGGACACGGAGCAATGGATCCAAACTACAAGAAAGAAGATTCTACCTAAACATTAGGAAGAACTTCCTGACAGTAAGAGCTGTTCGACAGTGGAATTTGCTGCCAAGGAGTGTGGTGGAGTCTCCTTCTTTGGAGGTCTTTAAGGCAGAGGCTTGACAACTATATGTCAGGAGTGCTCTGATGGTGTTTCCTGCTTGGCAGGGGGTTGGACTCGATGGCCCTTGTGGTCTCTTCCAACTCTATGATTCTATGATTCTATGATTCTATGAAAAGCATTACTGTCTTTGACCATGGAGGCATAGGCATTGTGGCTAGTAGTAGTAGTGATGATAATGATAATAATAATAATAATGATGATGATGATGATAATAAGTGACAGCTGGACCATAAAGAAGGCTGATTGCCGAAGAATTGATGCTTTTGAATTATGGTGCTGGAGGAGACTCTTGAGAGTCCCATGGACTGCAAGAAGATCAGACCTCTCCATTCTGAAGGAACTCAGCCCTGAGTGCTCACTGGAAGGACAGATCCTGAAGCTGAGGCTCCAAGACTTTGGCCTCCTCATGAGAACAGAAGACTCCCTGGAAAAGACCCTGATGTCGGGAAAGATGGAGGGCACAAGGAGAAGGGGACAATAGAGGACAAGATGGTTGGACAGTGTTCTTGAAGCTACCAGCATGAGTTTGACCAAGCTGCGGGAGGCAGTGGAATACAGGAGTGTCTGGTGTGCTCTGGTCCACGGGGTCACGAAGAGCTGGACATGACTAAATGACTAAACATTTTGTACCCTGCCCATCTGACTGGGTTACCCGTGTCATTCCGGGCAGCTTCCCCCCAAATATAAAAGCATCATGAAACACCAAACATTAAAAACTTATCTACACAGGGAAGCAGACAGAGGGTCTTCTCGTTAGCGGCACCCGCCCTGTGGAACGCCCTCCCACCAGATGTCAAAGAGAAAAACAACTACCAGACTTTTAGAAGACATCTGAAGGCAGCCCTGTTTAGGGATGCTTTTAATTTGTAATAGACTATTGTATTTTAATATTCTGTTGGAAGCTGCCCAGAGTGACTGGGGACACCCAGCCAGATGGGCGGGGTATAAATAATAAAAAATTATTATTATTATTATTATTAAGCTTTCAAAATTTTGATTTCCCCTCCCCAGCCACAAACACTCGCAGTCTGAAGTGGTACGTTCCCTCTCACCTGCCTCCAGACCGTACCACTTCACTCTGCTACTTGCGTAGGTCCAGCTTTTCAGGAGGACATTTTTTGCATTATTATTCCTGCTTCCGTTTGCACTTGGGTTAATTAATGGCTGATTAACTCGAGTTAGTGGACGCGCTTCTAAATGTGAGCTAACCTTGTTCCTCAGCAGTTTGCAGGGAATGGCAAATGTCCGTGTCCCGGAACAAATGTTTGCGGAATGTCTAGACTTGGCTTGACAAATGTGCAGGTAAACTTGAGTGGATTGGTTAGCAATCAATGAGAGAGGAAAAACTGGAGGGGAGCTCAGAGCCAGGACTGAAGGGGAAGAAAACCCAGAAAGCCATCTCCAATTCTGGCACATCCGTTGTGAGATACAATACGATACAATATTGTCATTGTCCCATACAAAACAACAAAATTGAAATATCTACATAAGACATTCAAAAACCAACAAGCCTGCTATCTTACCTATCCCAACCGGGTTAGCCCCCTAAAAACTCTGATACCCCATTTTTAAATACAATATACTTCCATAGAGACTCCTTAAAGGTAAAGGTAAAGGGACCCCTGACCATTAGGTCCAGCCATGGCCAATTCTGGGGTTGCGGCGCTCATCTCTCTTTACTGGCCGAGGGAGCCGGCCTACAGCTTCCAGGTCATGTGGCCAGCATGACTAAGCCGCTTTTGGCGAACCAGAGCAGCGCACGGAAATGCTGTTTATCTTCCCATCGGAGCGGTACCTATTTATCTACTTGCACTTTGACGTGCTTTCGAACTGCTAGGTTGGCAGGAGCAAGGACCGAGCAACGGGAGCTCACCCTGTCGCGGGGATTCGAACCGCCAACTTTCTGATCGGCAAGTCCTAGGCTCTGTGGTTTAACCCACAGCGCCACCCACGTCCCCAAAACTCTGATACCCCACAATTAAATACAATATACTCCCATAGAGACTACTTTACACTCAGTTGAAAACCCAAATCGCATTTGGGTAGAAACGGTTTCTCAGGCAGCTAGTCCTAGTCTTTATAACTCTGTACCTTCTTCCAGAAGGCAGAAGCTTAAAGAGATCATTTCCGGGGTGCGCACTATCCTGCGCTATCTCTGCAGCTTTCTTATGGCACCTGGAAGCATAGATTTGATCCAAGGTGGGAAGAGTGCACCCAATTATTCTCTCCGCAGCCTTTACAACCCTGGACAGCACTGTTTTTCCCCTGACCGTGCAGCTCCCAAACCACACACACGGACCATAAGTTAATACACAGTACAATGGTAAAATGCCATCAACAGGTCCTTTGAGAGATTTTTCTGGAGGATTCTCAGAAAATATAACCTCTGCTGTGCTCTCTTCATCAGGTCTTTGCTGTTTTCTCCGCAGGTTAGGTCATCTCTCAACTCCATTCCCAGTGCCTCTTCTACCTAGCTTGTCACCTTTGGTTTACGGGATGTGTGGTGCAGCGGCAGAGAGAAGTATTCTACACATGCTAAGAGGCACAAACGTCTCTGAGCATGTGCAAAATTTTCCTCCCATTGCAAGAGGGATTCACAATGCCACCTGGGATTGAGCGACGATTGCAACGCCTTTCTTAGGTGGCCTCCAGGCTTCTCCTACTTTGTGGGTGGGATTCAACCACATAGCGGCAAATTCAGGTTGCATAATTAAGAATGTGAAAAGGGCCTGCTGGATCAGGCCAACGGCCCATCTAGTTCAGGATCCTGTTCCCCCAGTAGCCTACCAGATGTCCCAGTGGGAAACCTGCAAAACAGGAGCTGAGCAGAAGGGCACCTTCCCCTCCTGTGGTTTCCAGAAACTGGCAGGATCCATACAGGCAGCAGGTCTGTTCTCCAAGGAATTACCGTATTTTTCGTTCTATAAGACGCACCAGACCACAAGACGCACCTAGTTTTTGGAGGAGGAAAACAAGAAAAAATAATATTCTGAATCTCAGAAGCCAGAACAGCAAGAGGGATGGCTGCGCAGTGAAAGCAGCAATCCCTCTTGCTGTTCTGGCTTCTGGGATAGCTGTGCAGCCTGCATTCGCTTCATAAGACGCACACACATTCCCCCTTACTTTTTAGGAGGGAAAAAGTGAGTCTTATAGAGCAAAAAACATGGTAATTGCTCACTGCTGCTGCATGCACCTTTGAGGCCAGACCCACCAACTCCTTGGCAGTCCCCGCTCCATGCCACGTCTTGGTGAATAGCTCTCTGCTAGTCTCCTCCTCCCCCAGGGAGAAAATGGCAGAAGATGCCCTCTGGGGTCTCCTAGGCTCTGCACCCACCTGGTGTGATTCAGAGTGGGTTCCTCTCCTCTCCACGATGGCTTTGATTCCCACTTCAGCTGATTTGCTTCTCCCCCTTGTCCCAGATGCAGATCTTAGAATCATAGAACTGGAGATCGGAAGGAACCCCTGGGGTCATCTAGTCCAGGCATAGGCAAACTCGGCCCTCCAGATGTTTTGGGACTACAACTCCCATGATCCCTAGCTAACAGGACCGGTGGTCAGGGATGATGGGAATTGTAGTCCCAAAAACATCTGGAAGGCCGAGTTTGCCTATGCCTGATCTAGTCCGCCCCCTGCAATGTAGGAATCTCAGCTAAAGCATCCATGACAGATGACCATCCGACCTCTGCTTAGAAACCTCCAGTTTCCACCAATTTTTTTCTGCCTTCAAAATTTAAACCATCTCGTTGCAACAAGCCTAATTTAGACAAGCTATTTAGAAAGCAGATGCACTTTTAGTTCACTGCTGGTTTAAACATTTGTGAATGTTGTAATGTTTTTTTTTTTAAAAAAACGAATAACCCTGTAGTTCTGTTCTGTTCTGTTTGGAAACTGCTTTGAGGTTTTCCGCAATGAAGCAGAGTACAGCGGTACCGCTGGTTGCGAATGGGATCTGTTCTGGAGGCCCGTTTGCAACATGAAAAGCCCGCAACCTGAAGTGTCATATCTGCGCAGGTGCGCGGTGCGATTTGGTGCTTGTGCGCATGCGCGAAACACGATTTAGCGCTTCTGTGCATGTGTGAGCAGCGAAACCCGGAAGTAACTGTTTCCAGTACTTCTGGGTTGCTGCGGGACCCAACCTGAAAAAACGTAACATGAAGCAAACGTAACATGAAGTATGACTGTATAAATTTTACAAAATAAATGGTTTTGTTGTTGACATCCACCTGTCTCGAGAGACAATGGAGTGTGCCTCCAGGAGTGAAGTCAAACTGCTGGGGAATCACTGCGCCTGCTGTGGCTGCAGAAATTGGTAACTTGTAACTGCTGCCTCCTGCGTTGTTTTTGCTGTGTTTGCAACACTAACGCGACCTCTCTGGGGTGCAAGCCTAGGCAGTGCGAATGGAGGTCCTGGGCTGCCCAGATGACAAGACCCCCTCTCGACCTGGCTCATGTGGTCCAAAGGAAAGCAGAGCAATATGTTTGGCACCAGCTTGGCTGCAGGAGTTGCTGGAAGGACGCATACAAGGCACCATCCAACTGCCTTACAGTTTCCATTCCAGATTTGTGTAGTGTTCACTCCTTAGCCGTGACCTAGCCACTGTGATCCACGCGACGGTCACTTCCAGACTGGATTGTTGTAACTCGCTCTATGTGGGGCTGCCCTTGAGACTGACCCAGAAACTCCAGCGGGGTGCAGAATGCTGCAGCGAGACTCCTTACGGGGTCCTCACCACGGGATCACATTTACCCGGTGCTATACCAGCTGCACTGGCTCCAGGTGGAGTACAGGATCAGGTTCAAGGTGCTGGTTTTAACCTTTAAAACCCTATACGGCCTAGGACCCTCGTACCTACAGGACCGCCTCTCCTGGTATGTCCCACAGAGGAACTTACGGTCTGCAAATAAAAACATCTTGGAGGTCCCGGGCCACAGGGAGGTTAGGCTGGCCTCGACGAGAGCCAGGGCTTTTTCGGCTGTGGCTCCGATCTGGTGGAACGCTCTGTCACAAGAGACTAGGGCTCTGCAGGACTTGACATCTTTCCGCAGGGCTTGCAAGACAGAGCTGTTCCACCAGGCCTTTGGCCAAGGCACAGCCTGACCCCCTTCTTCAGTAATCCTCACAGAACTCTAGCCCAATAGTTGCCATTAATTTGATTTAAACTGATTTTATAATGAATTGATTTTAGAATGCTGTATTATTTTACTGTTGTTATCCGCTCTGAGCCCGGCTTCGGCTGGGGAGGGCGGGATATAAATAAATTTATGATGATGATGATGATGATTTTCTTCTCCTGAATGCAAATAAAATAAAATATGGGGAATTTTAATACATATTTATCCAAGCCATCCTCCCCAAAACTGATGCTGTCCAGTTGTTTGGGACTACAACTCGCATCAGAGTCATATGCCTGTGCTGGGGGCGATGGAAGTTGTAGTGCTAAATGGTTGGAGGAGGAAACCAGGTGGAGGAAGGGCTGGAGAAACCAGATCAGCTGCTATCCTATCCAAAAAGGAAGAAAGGGTGAGGGGGGAAAGAGAAGGGAATCGACTGAGTTTGTGAGCCAAGTGTCTTGTTCTGGAAAGTCCACTAGAGGGCGGAGGAGAACATGCTTGTCCATCATATTTCTTCTCCTGCTGAGGTTGAGAGTCCTGTTGGGGAAGCATGACCCCAGAGTTCAAAGAAAACCCACAAGAGTTGCGCTGTGCATTCGCTGACAGCTGTGTCAGGCCGCAGATACTGATTGGGCCGGACAACCTGCCCACTTACGTAGCCCTAGGTGGCTGCCTTAGGAGGAAAGACGTACTGCAGCAGCAGCGTTTTGTAGGAGGGAAATTAGCACACTTATTTTAGCGTAAGCCGTCAAGGGATTCAGCACTAGGAGGCCCGGGGAAGGGACGGAGCAGTCTCGATCCAACCCTCCAGTCTTAGCCCATGAGTAGACCAGCAAACAGGGGAGAAGCAAGTAAGCCAACAAGAAATGGGAGCTGAAATCGCAATCTTCGCTTGCTCACCCCCATGCCTGTCCACCAGTCCTGCGAAAACTATTTATTACTTATTGCATTTATATCCAGGGAGCTCAAGGTAGCTACCCACAGCAACCCTGTGAGGTAGGCTAGGCTAAAGGTAAAGGTAAAGGGACCCCTGACCATCAGGTCCAGTCGTGACCGACTCTGGGGTTGCGGCGCTCATCTCGCTTTACTGGCCGAGGGAGCCGGACTACAGCTTCTGGGTCATGTGGCCAGCATGACTAAGCCACTTCTGGCGAACCAGAGCAGCGCACGGAAACGCTGTTTACCTTCCTGCCGGAGTGGTACCTATTTATCTACTTGCACTTTGATGTGCTTTTGAACTGCTAGGTTGGCAGGAGCAGAGACCGAGCAACGGGAGCTCACCCCATCGCAGGGTAGGCTAAGGCCCGAGGGCCGGATCCGGCCCAATTGCCTTCTCAATCCGGCCCATGGAGGGTCCGGGAATCAGCATGTTTTTACATGAGTAGAATGTTTCCTTTTATGTAAAATGCATCTCTGGGTTATTTGTGGGGCATAGGAATTTGTTCATGTTATTTTTCCAAAATATAGTCCAGCCCCCAACAAGGTCTGAGGAACAGTGGACTGGCCCACTGCTGAAACAGTTTGCTGACCCCTGCTCTAGCTGCTGCAAGGAAGCCCTTGACCTACCCTGTTTGTTTGGTTTTTTTTAAGAAAGTAAAAGTAGAATATGGAGCGAACCATGTTCAGGACAGGCGATCTAATGCACAGGATGGTCTTGCAGTCTGAGCATGGTCTGCTGAATGAAGACCAGGAAGCCTTAGGACCTAATCCCTGGGTTTGCCAGGTTTCTGGGCACCATGCAGAGCAGCCTAACAACATATGAAGGAATACGGTAAGAGGCCATAACATCAGAACTCAAAGGCACAGAATCCTAGAATTGTAGAATATGAATAGGACCTTGATGGTCTTCCAGTGAAGTGGAAGGTTGGAAGATTCAGGACAGAGTTAAAAAAACAGCAAACACTTCTACATGCAATGCATAATTGAACTATGGAACTCCCTGCCACAAGAGGCAGTTGTTAAAACCAGGAATTGTGTGTGTGGGGGGGAGCAGTTAAACGACTCCCAAAATCCCAAGTCCCCACCACATTCTCTAACTAAGGCCAGGACAATGACCGTTGACACAGACACCATACATACACAACAGCAAAGAGGCTCAGAAAAGCAGTCTATAAAATTGTAACAAGTGCTGGAGGAGACTCTTGAGAGTCCCATGGACTGCAAGAAGATCAAACCTCTCCATTCCGAAGGAAATAAGCCCTGAGTGCTCACTGGAAGGACAGTGGGCAGTGGAGCAAATCTGCACCCCAGGATTTTTCCTTATCGCAGTGATGGCCACCAACCTAGATGGCCTTAAAAAGAGGATTAGACAAATTTGTGGAGGGCCGTCAATGGCTATGTTCTTCCTCCATAGTTTTGAGAGGCCCAACGCTAAGGTGTTCTCAGGAGACATCTTAATCTCTGAGTAGACCCTCGGATGCAGCTCATCAGGCCCTGGAGATCTGAATTTGTTTAAAGTAGCTAGATGTTCACTTACCACTTCTTCTCCTGTACTAGGCTGAAGCATTGGGCTCAGTATTGTAAAGGTAAAGGATCCCTGGACGGTTAAGTCCTTCAGAGGCGACTATGGGGTTGTGGCGCTCATCTCGCTTTCAGGCCGAGGGAGCCGGCATTTGTCCACAGACAGTTTTCCGGGTCATGTGGCCAGCATGAGTAAACCACTTCTGGTGCAATGGGACACCGTGACGGAAACCAGAGCGCATGGAAACACCGTTTACCTTCCTGCCACAGTGGTACCTATTTATCTACTTGCATTGGTGTGCTTTCGAACTGCTAGGTTGACAGGAGCTGGGACAGAGCAACAGGAGCTCACTCTGTCGCGGGGATTCGAACCGCTGACTTTCTGATTGGCAAGCTCAAGAGGCACAGTGGTTTAGACCACAGCGCCACCAGTGCCCCTTCGGTATTGTCCACACTGACTAGCCTCAGCCTGTCCTCTGTCCCATGTCCTGTCCCAGCAGGGCTCTTTACAGAACCACAGAATTGTAGTGTTGGAAGGGACCCCGAGGGTCATCCAGTCCAACCCCCTGCAATGCAGGAATCCTTCTGCTCTCATGATCCTGCAAAGCCGGAGCATCGTGGAGAATAATAATAATAATAATAATAATAATAATAATAATAATCTTTTATTATTCATACCCCGCCCAGAATATTAAAATACAGTAATGCATCAAACATTAAAAGCTTCCCTAAACAGGGCTGCCTTCAGATGTCTTCTAAAAGTCTGGTAGTTGTTGTTCTTTTAGACATCTGATGGGAGGGCATTCCACAGGCGGGTGCCACCACTGAGAAGGCCCTTTGCCTGGTTCCCTGTAACTTGGCTTCTTGCAGTGAGGGAACCGCCAGAAGGCCCTCGGCGCTGGACCTCAGCATCCGGGCAGAACAATCGGGGTGGAGACGCTCCTTCAGGTATACTGGGCCGAGGCCGTTTAGGGCCTGAAAGGTCAGCACCAACACTTTGAATTGTGCTCGGAAACGTACTTTCTCTCCGATATGC